CCGCTGGGCCCCTGGGGGCCCCTCGTGGATGGGCGCGCCCAGGCGCGCCGAAGAATCGCTGCAAACTACTGTCCGCGCGGCGCCCGGGCAGGGTGGCAGGGCGGGGCCGCGGGGCGGCCGCATGTTTATTTCGCCGCCTGCGCGAACAGATCCTCTTCCTCGCTCTCCTCTCCCTACTCGCCCCTCCGCGCGTCCTCCGCCGCCGCCTCCCGTTCCCCGTCCTCCTTCCCTCTCCCTCACCTCCCCCGTCGCCTCTCCCCCCCTTGCCCTCTTCCCTTGCCTCGCGCGGCCAAGAACAACGCGTTCTGTCACGAAGCCCCAAACAGTGCTTGAACTGAAAGGTTTCCACCTGTGCCCAGTAAAAGTTTGGAGGGGCGTGCCGATTCGCCGCGCTGCCGCGCGCGCCGCCCTGCAGCCGCCGCGCGGCCCCGCCCGCTGTGGCCAGGGAATATGCCGACAGCGCGCCCCGTTGGCTCTTCGCGCCGCCCCACTTCGGGCCCTCTGCTCTGGCCGCCGCGGGCCGGCTGGACCCGGGGCTCCACAGAGCCAAAACCCAGGTCCCCAGGGGGCCGCCAGGCGGCCAAGTAAGGCCCTCAGTTGGTACCCCGGCGGAGGCCCAAGTAAGGCCCTTACTTGGCACCCGGGAAAGTCCTTAGTAAATTTCTAGTTTGCACGGATGTCTCGCGCGCCTGGGCCGCCATGGCCCCCCGGGAACGATTTTGCGAGGGCCCCGCGGGGTCCTTGCGTCGACCATGTTTTCTTGTAGCGATGGAGACCCAAAGTCGCGACGCCCCGGCGCGGCCGTCGGCGGCCCCCAACCAGCGACCCCATTGGGGGGCGCGAAACAGTTGTTCTGCCGAGACTTGAAGGCAACCCTGTTGCCATCGCCGCCGTAGCTGTAGTTCATCCCGCGGTCAGCGCAATGGGAGCTAAGTGGCGCAATCAACTGGGGCCACCGCGCGGGGCGGCCTCGGAGCAACCAGAAAGCGACCGTGGGCCGGCCACGGATCGGCGCGGACGGCAAAATGGCGCGACGTCGGCAGATTCCCAGGACAGGGGGGAAGCCGCGAGGCGGCCACGGGGCGGCCTCGGGGCGGCAAGGCGCACAACCTCGACACGCCCCCCAAACGCGGGGGGGCACCCGCTGGGCGGCCGCCAGGCAGCGCGGCAGGCAACGCGGCGAATCCTCGGCGTACCCATTCAGCGCCTCAGGGGACACGCGCAAGAAACCTGTCACGCAACCCTCGCGTCGGAAGTCAAATCGAAGAGGCGGGAATGCAACGAGAGGGGGGGGGGGAAGGGGGAGTGGGCGACGACGAAGACGAAACAGTATACACCGAGACGAAGAGGATGAACGTGTCACGTGTTGCGGCCTTTTCAAAACGATGGGCGTTTATACGTCTCGCGTTGCGAATCCCTGGGCAACCTTGGAAAACTCGCTGCGCCGGCTGTTGCGCACCCGCGGTGCGCGGGGCTAGCTGCAGCAATATAGGAATAGCATGTTTTGTTGCATGCGCACGCGCAAACGCGATGCGATTAATTAAACATTGGAGGCGCGCCTTCCACGGCCCAATGGAGCGCTCCACTTGGGATGTGCGCGAATATCAACAAACGAACAATACAAAGCCAATCAATTAGGGAAACGGCGCAAACAAACACGCATGCACGAGGATAAGTACACCGAAACAACGCGCCAGAAAAATGGGCGCGCGAATGCTGGGCGACCAGAACTACACTGCATCCAAACATATCGGCGCATCGCAACGCACAGGAAGGAGGGAGAGGCACCGAGTGCCTAGAAATAATTTGCCAAGCGACATAGTAAACGCTTCCGGTGGCGACGTCGCGCAGAGGCGCGTTCTGCCCGCATCAACGGGCGCATCGTCGCGCGAAACCAGCCGAACCACGCCCCGCGAAGCATCGCTGCGCGAGTGCCGCGAACCAATGCAAAACGCGCGAAGCTTGCAAGCGAAAACAAGCGCTGCGCGCCGCCCGGCAAGTCACATTGAAATACGGCAGCAACCAGACAGCTACTAGAGAAACCTGCCCTGAACAACGCGCGAGCGCGTCTTGTGAAAAAGGGGAATGTTGCGAATTGTCGCCATTCGGTTTCGCACCAACACGTCGAGGTAACTGTATGCGGGGGACTCTGCGCATGAAACAAAACCGCAAACTGACAAGAACGTTAGATGTGAAACATGCGCGCATCATAGCAACAATAACGGCAACAAAACAGGCACAACAATAATTTTTGAAAAATATCCAGAACATCCGGAAGCGGTGGTTTCTTGCGCGGTCATTCAGCGCGGTGATCGCCTGCGCCGGGCTTTCGAGGCACGAGCTCATCAAGATATAATCGATCATGCTGCGGGCCTTCTGGCAAAAGGATCCTAGCCCGCCAGGGGAACTCTCCAAACCTGCCCGCGTCAAAACTCCGGGCGGTGCGATCATTGATGGAGCCATGTTAAAACAACTCCGACTAGAGAAGGCATGCGCAACTTCTGCCGCCACCATCCTGCTGCGGCCAACAAGCATGAGCGTATCTGGTTCAGACAAGCCGAAGCCTCGGCGTGCCCTGGCGCCAGAATTATTGGCTTCTGGCCCGGCAGTGGCAGCAGCGGCTCTGCTCGTGGCATGGTGGTGCGACTGGTTGGACACCGGTGTTGAGGCCACAGCGCATGGCAATGCATGTGCCGCTGCTGTTGTAGCCGTTGTCCCCGACGTCGCAACCTGAGAATATTGCATGCCCGCCTCGTGCATCGCGCCATGGCGCGGCTTGGCCGACGTTATCCCCACGGAGTTTGACCCCCTGAGCGTAGATGACCGAAGCGTGCAACACTTCCTGATATTTAACTAGACTCTCCACTGAACTCCAACAACTGCCGTTTATGGTAACGAATACGGTCTGCTCGGTGCAACCCACCATGCGGTGACTGCAGCGCTGGCTTGCCTATGCTGACAGCCTTCGCCGCCTCCCTAGCCTGCGCGAGTGCCGCCGTTGCCCGCTTGGAGTCCTGATCCGAGGTCTGCGCCGCGATCTCGCCCAGCACCTGCTCCAGCGCCTCTCTCTGTGAAACCTCCTGCATGGCTGCGGAGTCGACGGCCGAATCGTCCATGACACTCGTCTCCTGCTACTTTGGTTCGTCATCCTCTTTGCCGCCGATGGGGGGGGAAACCTTCTGGCTCCTCCTTGGCTGCTGGCACTGGTGCTGCATTTGCTGCTGCGCTTCCTGCTGGTAATGATTGCGTTTTTTTGCGGCGGTGCCACCAAGCCATGAACCGCTGTCGCGATGCTCTGCTCCCGTGTGTAGACTTGCTGCTGACGGTGATCTGGAATGTCTGAGACTGGGCCCGCTGCCAGCTGCAACATGAACTGGTTGAGCTTGGGGGGCGGGCTCTGCACCTTCGGATTGGGTGCCGCCGCCGCCGCCGAGTGAACTGTGACTGCGTGCTGGGCCTCCAGCTGCACAACCTCCTTTTGAATGGTGGCGATTGTCTTCTGCAACTCCGAGTGCTCTTCGGCCGGGGTTGTGAGCTGCTCCAGCTTCTCGGCGGCCTGGGACTCTGACCGGCTGATGCGTTCTTTTGTGCGCTCGATCTGGTCACGCACCGACTGGGCTTGCCGGTCCAGGGGTTTCGCCTTGAGCGCGGTCTGCGTGGCTGTCTTAAGCGTTTTGCGACCGCCGCCTCGTAATTACTGCCGCCGACGCCTCCTCTTTCCTCCCGGAACTGAGCCAGGTCCTGGTACGTGCTGACGTCGAGTTCGGTGGCGAAGTTGGGCGAGCCAATGTCGGTGCGAGGCGGTGTGGCATGCTCCTGCTGCCTGTCATTGCCCCGAATGTCCCTGGCTGCGTGCTTCCCGCCTTTCCAACGATTGGCGCCCGACGGTGGGGCTCGCTGAAAAGGGGCCCGTGTCGTCTCTGCCTTTGCCTCGACCTTGATACGTGTTGCCACGTTTGCTGCAATACTTGCTTTTGTCGCACCAGTCCCAACCCGTGCACTGAGAGTTGCTGCATACCAAGTGCTCGCGACGCTGCTATGGCTGAGATCTTTTCTTGCCGTTCCTGCCCATCGCCCTGAAACGACCGCTCCAATGAGAAGCAGCAGAACACAACTGTGTTGCAGGCGAATGCAGCGAAAAGAATGAATCTTGGGAGATGATGGGTGTCCTGGAAGCCCTCGGGGAAGCTTGGGCCCCAGCTCACTTGAGCCAAACTGGCTACGGAGGAGGAGGACGACACGGAGGAGGAAAAGAAGGAGGAAGGACGAGGATGAGAAGGAGGAGGAGGAGGAGGAGGACGTCACTGAAATCGTCGCTGTCGTCGCAGTGATTACCGCGCCTGTTGTCTACGCGGACACGCTCTTACACCGCAGAACTCCCCAGCGACACGTGACAGGAATATAAGATGTACATATGGGGATCTGTCCGTCGCATTGAATTTTGCTGGACTGAATGAGTGGCACGCCAAACCGAACATATTAACCGCACGTTGTGGGAAGATGTTTTTGTTAGCCCGTTTAATCAGTGGGGAAGAACAGGAAATACAATGTTGATATTTTGCATGGCCGTTTGACTCACGGTGTTGCGGATACCTCTTGATGAAATCACCAAAGGCAATTGACGACTCTCCAAACTATACTTTTAGAAGACGATGTGTCTTCCTCGCGCCATGATGGCTGACATCGACCGGCCGACGCTGTGAGACGACAAGGACAATCCGATCACACAAGCAATCGAATGGAGACATGCCCTGATCCTCGCAGGAGGCAGAAGAGACGTGAGGAGGACTAGACTGACTGAAGCCGTGCATCCCTAGCAGAGGTGAGGAGGACGAAATGGGTCGAACAACACGAGTTGTTCGTGAAGGTCCCCCATGCTCCCATCAAGATTCGACTTTGGCAGAGACACTGCTTGTGCACAGAAGCCTTGCGCACGCTTCGCACTGCTCCAAGCACTCCGTCGCTACTCTTTTCAAATCTGTAGCTCTGAAGCGAATCGCCTCGTCGAGCTTCTCCCTCAGCTCGATCATCGGATCGACCTCGGGACGGCACACAGCAGACCCGTCCGCCAGGGATCTCCACAAGAAGCTCAGACGTTCAATGGTGGGGGAGCCCTTCATTACCCGCAGGAAGTGTCCTGGCTAATTCACGTGCACCACCACGGCCCGCATGCACTACGGTGGGAAAGCTCCCTCGTTTTGAAGAGACAACGCCCCGCGTTTCTCCTCCTCCTCCTCCTCCTCCTCCTCCTCCCGCTGCCCCCTCCTCCTCACTTCTCCCGTCGTCCCCCTCACTTTGACACACACACACACACACACACACAAACACACACACACACACACACACACACACGCACCTCACACGTTCCGTGGCCCCATAGGGAGCTTCACCGAAGGCCCCAGTTGCAAGGTCCGCATGCGGTTTACCGCCCATTTCGGCACACCCCTCACACGCTCCGTGGCTCCATGAGGAGCTCTACCGAAGGCCCCAGTGGCAGGGTCCGCATGCGGTTCCCCGCCCATTTCGGCACACCGCTCACACGTTTCGTGGCCCCAGGGAGCTCTACCGAAGGCCCCAGTGGCAAGGTACGCCTGCGGTTCCCCACCCATATGGGCACACCCCTCACACGTTTCGTGGCCCAGGCCACAGTGGCAGGGTCCGCATGCGGTTCCATGCCCATGTCGGCCCACACCTCACACGTTTCGTGGCCCCATAGGGAGCGCCACCGAAGGCCCAGTGGCAGGGTCCGCACGCGGTTCCAAGCACATTTCGGTACACCCCTCACACGTTTCGTGGTCCCACAGGGAGCTCCACCGAAGGCCCCGGTGGCAGGGTCCGCATGCGGTTCCATGCCCATTTCGCCCCACACCTCACACGTTTCGTGGCCCCACAGGGAGGCCCGTCGAACGATGGTCCCAGAACGCGGTATCCACAACTGCTAATGGTGGGTCCTTCTTCAAGCAATTTTTTTCTGGAGGGTGGGAAAGGAGGAGGAAGGAAGCGACCGGGACGAATCACAAGCGTACGCTTGCACTCCGCGGCAAAAGGCGGCATTGCTGATATCAATCTGCGTCGCAGAATCATCCCACTCTGGATCGAATATTGCTTATGACCCTTGCTGTATCCTTGCTCCCGTCAACAGCCGCGGATACACTCCGAGGCGTTATATCGAGCTCGGGATGCGCTGCACGCAGATAGCGTCCGTGCGGGAGGACGGGGAGCCAGAAGCAGGGCGGCCGCGAGATGACGGGGGGAAATGGGGAGGAGGAGGCCGCAGCCTCACTGCTGCAGAACAAGCGCCGTGCGCCCACACGCTCGGGCGTCGTTTCATCTGGCATTCAATTGAATTTGATCGGAGAGGACTCGCGAGAGGACGCACGACGCTACCGAGGGCCATGTTGCAGCTGGAATGTAGAGGATATGGGTCACCACACAGAAAACACAACAGGCACCCTTGATGGGGAAGGATCGACTTAATAACCAATCTCGACTGTAAACGCCCACGCGCGCCGCGGTGGGGGGTGAATGGGTCCTGGGGTCCCAAGAACGACCCCTGGACCCCTCCCGGGGTGCGGTCTGAACAAAATCTCAAAAGAAAACCAGCCGTGGCGACAAAAACCCTCCACAAAGCCCGAACACGTCAAACACGTCATCGAACCTCGGTGTTCGGAACTCTTGGTGCTGAGTTGAAAGGGGGTGCGCGCTCCTTCCCGCTGTCTTCGGCCCCCCCCCTGGCGCATTCCCAGGCGTGGAGAAAACAGCGGAAGTGAAGTGCAGGAGGAGCCTCCTCCTCCTCCTCCTCCTCCTCCTTTTTTTCTCCTCCTCCTCCTCCTCGTCCTCCTCCACCTCCTCCTCCCCCTCCTCCTCCTCCTCTCCTTGATCCTCCCCCCTCCTCCTCTCTGCTCCTTGGGGACAACGCAACTTGGGATCCGACGAGGGGTCTGGTCTACAGCCATTGATATCCGCGCGCCACCTGGCGGGGGAAATTCTACAGAAGGCCAAAAAGCGAAACCAACCCAACCAACAATTTAGAACAAATTATCAGAAACGGAAATTTCGCACGAAACCATCGCGCCAATGCCGTAACGCTCGAACCAAGGGCACGCGCGCAACCCGCCCTCTCCAGACTCCGGCCCGCAACTCTGACATGCTACATGCGCAGCGCACCCTCAAAATTATTATGCCGCATCGGTCAAGGTTCCATCCCTGCAGGCGTCGCACGCGGTTTTCCTGGAGGCCGCGGGGCGCTGACAATCACTCGGCCGATGCGCACGTGCCTCCCTTGGGGAACTCGGCGGCCATAACTCAGACGGCGCAACCGAGACCAACGGGCAACGCGACGGCGGGGGGCCTCGTCAGCAGTTGCAGCGCTTACCTCTCCAAACACAAGGCGCGGGATCTCGGGGCGGGGGCGGGCCCGGGCGACGCGCGCGAGCGCGTGCCTGGATGCGCCCCTAGTAATGCCCAGATGGAGGGACTCGGCGCGGCTCTGTCGATGAACTTCGACCAGGGAGCGATCCAGGACTCTCGTTGACCGCGGAGACCCGCCCGGGCGCCAAAATCCTGCGCCGCGCCCGCGAGGGCCCACCTCTGCCCTCCTGCGCTCGGATCAGCCCGACAAAACAAAAGAGGGAAACTTCTCGACCAAGGCGCTCGGCCATGGCCGCCCAGGCGCCGCCGATCTCCAGGGCGAGGACAGCCGCGCCATCGGCCCCATGCCAAATGGGAAGGCGCAGTTGCGCTGGGGACGGGGGCGAGGCCGAGGGCGAACGCCCCTCGGTAGCGGGCGCCCCTCCCCGACGTCGCGAGCGCGCCAGAGAACCGCATTCGAATGCGCCGCCGCGCGACGCGTTTCCCAGCGCGAAGACTGCAAAAGCTGGGCGGCCCATGGGAGCCGCGGGCGCGTTCGCGCGCGCGCGTGGCGGCGGCGTCATGGCGTCGACGCCGAGGCGCGCGCGCCCGCGCTGAAACGCCGAGGGGGGGAAGGGGGGGGGGGGGCGGCTCTGACGTCGTGCAAGACGCAGCCGCAGCCGGAGAAATGCTGCTGGCAACCGCCATTGTGCGCGCTAGCTTCGAGACCAATGACGCCGTTGCACATGGGCCGTCCATCGGCAAAACCAATCCGATCATGGCAGCGCGCCGCTCGGCAGACGTGCCCCGGGACCCGGCTAAGGGCGATGCAGCGTAGCTCGTCGCAAGAAATAGGATGGGCAATCGGTCTCGTCTCTCCGACTGAGCGGGGGGCCTCGAATGCGCCTGGCTGGATTCGCCGCCGACGAATAAGAAGTCCAATGCGTTGCTGAGCCCGTCGCCGATCGGCAGCAGGAGTAGACGATCGAGAGATCGCAGCGCGTCTCCGCCTACTCCAAGACAGGAGGGGTAGACGAGGCCGTCGGGTCCAGGGAGGGGAGTTCTTCGAATGTCTGCTGGAACTCTGCAGCGCAGAATTCCCGCTCTGGAACGCGCGGCGATTGATGCGCGAACGGCCGCAATGCTGCATGCTCGTCGGGGGGGGGGCGTCCGTGTCCGCGACGGGCGTTGCCGCGGCATTCAACTCATTGCCCGGCCAATGCCTGCGGGCCAAAGCACTTAACCCCTTGGGGCCCGGCGATCTCGGCCAGACGAACCTCAGGCGCCGTGGCGGCCAAGCGGGGCAATTCTGGCGCATCTGCGTCATGGCGCTTAGCTGGAGGTCATCCTGCTAATGTTCGAGATCGCAGAATTCTCGATCAGGGCGGGGGGTCTGCAGGAACCCGATGCGCCCGTGGAAGCCGTCGCGACCAAAGTAAACTGCCCAAGTCCTGAAACTGCCCCAGAGGCGCGTGAACCTTGCAAGCCCGCGATGCCATGCGATGGCCAATGGGTCGAATCGCGCGCGCGCGAACAGTGCTCGGGGAGATCTTTCCAGGGCCACCGCGGGCGCCGCGGAATTCCAGCGCGGCCGGCAGGGTCCGAGACGCACGGCGGATGGTGGCCCTGAATGTTCTGGGCGCTCTCACAAGTCCGAACTGAAATGCCCAGCTTCTGGAACAGCGCAGGCGCGCTGCCGGCAAAATTCGGAGTGCTTAAAAACCCGCCGCGATGGTTTAGAAGCCGTGTCTACGACGAGCATCCTGGGCGCGAGCCCAACGCCGTCCGGAATCTGAGCTGAACTACTCGGCCTATCCACGACCTCCCCGATGGTCGCGGCGGCCGGCTGCGCATCGAACAACTCCGCCGCGAACGTGCCGCGCAGAATGCGGTCGAACCGTGGGGCAGAGACGACGGGCATTTCTGGGCTGATGTCGGCGTAGTGAACGAGAGGACACGCACCGTGTCCAGCGGCGTCGGGCCTGGCGGGCAACCTGGGGGCCCGTCTCCTTCGCAGCGCACAATCCAAGCGCCAACCATCGAAATGAAGGCCTTGGGGGCGGGGGCCATGAACCGCGAAGCCTGGCCCGGGACACTCTGCGGAGCAGAAAGGGAGATGGTCGGGCCAGCACGAGTGTTTATTCCCTGGCGCCCCGTGGTCTGGACATGCCATAATTTCGCCACGTTGCCGCCCGTGCCGCATTGTCGGCGACCCGTGCCCTGAGCTTGCACGGCGTAGCTTTCATCGTATAGCTTACGCGACGTAGTCCCCACCACATAACCTGCAATGCACACATCAAATTACGCAACCCGCACCACGTTGATTTCATTCCATTGCGTTCACCCATTGACGGGCACCGCGTAGCTTCAACCTCCACGCTGCAATAATGCATTGGTTGGGGTCCACGCTGCCAACCACACGCATATATGAGCATATGCATAGATACTGGTGGGCATATAAATATATGCGTCTATGCACTGCCCTGATCTTTTTTTCTGCCAGAGCGGGGGTTTGGCGAGAGCGCGGGCAATTGCCTGGTGGCGTCGGGCAGCGTCGAGCCCGGCGCCGAGCATCCAACGGAATAAGAGGCCAACACTTTGGACGCAATTGGAATGAAGGAAGAGGGGGAGGAGGAGAGGAGGAAAAGGACTTGAGCAAGAACGGCGATGGAACGGAACGTTCACATCTGCAGGCGGCTTGCGAATGGGGCGTGCAAAGCTGTTTGGAAAACGAATCGATGCACTGCCCTGATCATCTTTTTTCTGTCAGAACGGGGGTCTGGCGAGAGCAAGGGCAATTGCCTGGCGGCGCCGGGCAGCGTCGAGCCCGGCGCCGAGCATTCAACGGGACAAGAGGCCATAGACCATACTGGATGCCTGGCAGCTGTCATCCCAGCTTTGCAGAACATTAGCGAGAGACGAGGCTGGACAAGCGAACAGACAGGCGGCGTTCGGCGGAGCGGTGGAGCCAGAGACCAGCAGCAGCAGCAATGGGAGCGGGATAAGGTTCCGCGATGGCGGCCCACCCCTTGCCCCCGGGCCCGCCGCCTTCAAGGGTGATGTGCTGCAGGCCGGACTTGCTGCAGAGCCCACCCGGCCACGGCATTTGCACGGCAGAGGCTGGGGGGGGGGACAGGTGCACCAGCCGCGGAATCGAGTGGCATTCCTCCATCTGGTACCGTGTTGACAGACATCTACATTGGCGTCTCTACAAGAGGAGCGGGAGAGCAGCAGCATGCGAGGACGGGACCACGTAGTTGACGAGCGGGAATTTTCTAAAATGAACGGGACGGCGAGGCGCTTGCACTCGAAGCCGACTCGCATGGCGAAAAGGAATGTGGCGTTGCCCACGCGGAGCCTAGCACCAGCGTCGCCCTGAAGGCCAGGGTGGCCGTTCAGATCACCAGGTGAGCGATAGAAATGGCGGGGGGCCTGAGACCACGTCGAGCAGGGAGGAGCGCACATCACTCCTCGCACCACGCGAGATCTCAGCCAACCTATCACGATGGCCCCGCACGCGCGTCGTGACAAATCAAACGCGGGGTGGGCCGCCACGTCGATCCGCAGGACAGCGTAGTCGGTCCTCCGTTCGAGCCAACTCGCAACTCTGCCAGCGCCACTGAACAAGTCCAGTTACACTTGGTGCTTGCGGGAACCCGAAGGGGCCGCCCGCAGCGCAGCCCGCCAGTGGCGGCTCACCGCCGCGTCCGTCAGGACCTCGGCCGCGCCGCCTGTGTCGTCGCCGCGCCAGCTGCGCCCTGCGCGGAGCGCGGCGCGCGAGCCCGCGGCAGCAGCGGCGCCCGGCCCCGCAGCAGATCGCCCAGGCGGGCGTCGACGCCCCGCCCGGACTGCGCCACCTCGGGACTGAGCTTCCCGACCTCCGCGAAGTACCTGACGTGCCTGGCGTACCTTTCCGTCGAGTTGTCCGACTGGTGCCTCAGCATGGCCTGGATGTCCGCGAGCTTCTCGCCCAGGACTGCGGCTCGGTGCGAGGCTCTGCCGTGGCGCGCCTGGAACGGGTGGCAGTCCTGGTGGCCCAGCTGGTCGAAAACCGCCCTGAACTTGGCGTTGAAGACCCTCGCGTCGAAGTCCCAGAGCGGCTGGCCGTCCGAGCGGCCTCGCTTCATCCTGGCCAGGTCTGCGCTGAGGGCTACGGACGTCGAGTCTGACAGCGCGACGCCCTCGTCGCAGCCCAAAGTCTTGCTGACCTGGCTGAACTCCTCTGGGAAGAGAAAGAGGCTCCACACAGCTCGGCCAGAGCGAGGCGCGGGCGCCACCAGCGTCGCGGGCGTCATCTGCACGATCTCGCTGGGAAGCCGGGCCATCGTGTCCCAGCTGAGGGCTAGGGCGATGTCGAAGCTCCGCCAGCCTCGGTGCAGAGCGACGCCCACGGCAGCGAACAGCAGCTCCCTCGCCATGGGGGCCCGCGTCGACCCCCGCGCCAGCTTGCGGAAGCCCCGCAGCCCGGCGGCGGTCCTCTCCAGCGCAGCCGCCGCAGTCGAGCCCAGGCCCGGGTTGAAGTGCTGCAGCGCCGCAAAGGCCTTGCCCCCCTTGTGGTGGTTGTGGCCCTCCCAGAACAGGAAATCGATGTACTGGGAGAAGGTCGAGTCGATCGACGGCAGCCCGAGGATCGACAGCCCCCTCGAGCGGGCCCAGGTCAGGAAGTCCAGATACTCCTTCTCGAAGTACACGCGGAGCGCGTTGCCGGCCTTCAGGCTCTGCAGCACCGTGAGCCCCTCGGCCTGGGCTCGCTCGTTTGCGCCGCGGTGGGCTGAGCGGCGGGCCTTCGCCCTGGCTAGGCGGAGAGCCTCGGCCCTCGCTGGAGGCGGTCTCGCACTGCTGGTCGATGTCGCTGTCCGGGCTCGTAGATGAGGAGTCGTCGGCGACCGCGCCGCCGGCGCCGGGCCCGCCAAGGAGCCCCGCGAGGCCACCGAACGGGCAGGGGTCGTCGTGCAGCGCGTCCCCGAGCCCGGCCGCGCCAGGCCCGCTGGGGTCGCCGGGCCCCGTGCCCGAAGCCGTGGCACCACGGCAGTGGCGCCTCCGAACGAGCGCGTCAACATCCCGGCCGGGGGCCTGGAGCCCGCTGGAGCTGGCTGGCGGGCCTCCGAGATACGCAGCATGTCGGGGGTCAGCACGAGCGTCCAACGTATGGCGAAGCCTGAGCCTAGAGGGCTTGTCGGCGGGGTTCCACTCTGATGGAATCCATCTGAGGATGAGGGCGGTGTCGGTGACAATAGATATCGCGCGCAGCTGCAGCGAGACGCGATTGAGAGTGATGGAAGGGGAACGCCCTTTTCCAACCGCGAGTGCAAGCCCGAGGTTGTCGACCAAGATGAGGTGCCGATGACTATGCCCGCTGCGCCCTCGCACTGCGTGCCGTGCGGCCATCACAGCCGCTCGCCCCTCGAGAACGGCGACGTCCTCGTCGCGCTGAAACTCGCCGTGGAAAAGGACACCCCAATCGTTGAAGTCACCGATCGAGGACCTCGCGACCCCCTCGAAGCTGGCGGAGCCAGCGCGTGCCTGGCGGCGACCGACCTTGGCCCCCTAAACCGGGTCGAGGCCGAGCGCGCGCTCGCGGGCCCCGATGGCGCCCAGCACGGAGTATCGCCAGGCCTCAGCTGACGAGGCGGTGTGCCCCACGAGCTCATTGGCCCAGGTCCGCCCCGCCACGCCGTAGCCGCCTCCTGAGCCAGACTAGTCTGGCCCCTGGAGGCGTCCGAAGCGTAGACAAAGGTGATGTTGGGCCTCTTGGAGTCGGAGAAAGCGAAGACCAGCAGAGCGGCCGCCTGCCGCAGCTCGAGCTCCACGCGGCTCCACAGCCGCAGGCGGCGGCGACCAGCGACGCGGGCGAAGACGTAGGCCTGTTGAAAAATACTGAGAAGTGGCCGCCTCAGGGGAGCGGCCCAAGTGAAGTGCCCGAGCAAGCTAAAGATCTCGCCCCCCGTGGCCGAACGGCTGTCCGCCACGAACAGCAAAGCAAGTCGGATCTTACACATCCGACCCGGGCTGATGCCCGCGCGCCCGCTGCGCCTCTCGAAGGTGATGCCCGTGAAGGTCTGCAGGTTCTCAAGCTCCATGAAGCCCTTGCACTTCAGGCCGACCCGCTCCAGCTCGCTGACGACCTCAGTGCAGTCGGCCACGCAGCGGTCGCCGTCGCCGCCGACGACGCACACGTCGTCGACGTAGACGCCAGGCTGGGTCGGAGAGGTGCGGACCTGCAGGGGAGCGTGGCGGTCCATGACGAGCGGCCCGGTGTCGATCCCCGACCGCAGCACGGTGGTCTCCAGCAGCCTCTGGCAGAAGTAGAGGCTCCACGACCACCCCATCGGCAACACTTGCAAGAGAGGCGAACCGAAACGGGCGTCGGGCAGGTCGATGTCCGCCCCAGCCGCCTCGGCCAGCTGTTGGAGCGAACTCAGGTGCACGCTCTCGGCAACGAGAAATGCTCATCCATCTTGTCAGGCAACTTCACCCTGTAGAAGGCGTTGTCCACGTCGGCCTGAGCCATGCTCAAGGAAGAGGAAGGATCGGTACGCAGCGCCGCCCACGCGGCAACACTGGGTAACTGGGAATGATCAGGGTTATGCAACCGTGCATAGACACGTCGCGTATCGAAGATGAGCCGAAGCCGTTCTCGCCCGCTCTTCCACGCACGAAACACGCCCACCGTGGCACTGCGCTTGGCCCCGACTCTGATGAGGCCGGAGGTATACAGGTCCAGGATGAACTGCGCATAGAGCCGCCTATCCGCCATGATATTGCGATCATTGTGAAGCTTGATCTCGGTGAGGGCGTACCACACGCGGTGTCCAACGATCTCCGTCGGACTCGGCGTCACCTCCAGCTCTGCCTCGCACTCCGAGCTCTGGCACTCGCACAACAAGATCCGATCCTGCCAAGTACCGCCCACCTCCCACAGGAGGCGAACGCGACGCCCAGGTCGTAGATAAGACATGTCCGCCGAGGCAGCAGCACAGGGTCAAGCTCACGCCGGCGATGAAGCCCGCAAACAGACAGAGGATCGCCAGCGATCGGATGCTCCCGAACGAGCCCACCGCCAGCGCGCAGTCAGAGGCCTCCTCGGCCAGCGGTCCCAGCCCTGGCCCAACCGAATCGAGAATGGCGATGGCGCCGCGGGCCGCTTTGCTCAGGAGCCCGAGGACTCCCATACAAGCTGGGATGGCGCTGCCGCCCGAAAAACTTGAGCAAGAACGGCGATGGAACGGACCTTTCACATCTGCAGGCGGCTTGCGAATGGGGCGTGCAAAGCTGTTTGGAAAACGAACCGATATTCACAGCTGTATGCGTATGATATGAAGCCATACGCGGTTCCCTGTACACAGAAGAAGAAAGAGTCTGTGTATGTATAATGGTAAGCACATGTGTATATGTGCAAATCTGTGTTGGGTGGTCGCGAGGGCTGGTTGTTGGCTGCCTCGAAAGTCCAACCCATCCGGTGATCGCGGGGCTTGGCTGTTTCTTTTACCAGTCGGGTTCTGCCTATTTGATATCGCCCATGTGGTGGTCGCGTGGGGTCGTTGACGGTTGCGCGCAAGGTCCTGCGCACAGACTCCCAGCTTGAGGTGCCTTGGGTCTTGGCAGTTGCGGTGGATGCGCATCGGACCATTGCCTTAGTTGCATAGGTGTTGGCTGTTACGGTAATTAATCAAACATGGGGTACAGGTCGCCAAGCCTGTGGGGTAATTGCGGTTCCCAATCATATCTAACTGTCAACAGGCCGCACGCCCAAACTATATACATATACGTGTTCGTATGCACTTACAGCGTGACGTACACGTGCTCGTCCTGACCATCTCTTTCGTTGGGTAATCATTTGCGTGCGCATACACGTAGACATACTGTCGTCGGAACATATCTACGATCCGAACATGCACGTGCGCACATGCACGACCACGGATTTTGCATGCTTCTGCACGTCTATGTGTAGACATGTGGTTGCCAGCTAAGACCCAATATCACCATGTGTCGCACGAGGGATGTGTACAACTGTAACGAACGCTATGCAATGCAAAAAATGTGGTGTAAGCTATATGGTCAGGGTTATGCAGTAACCTAAGTAAAATCATGCAAGTTAGGCTGCGCAAATATTGTGATGCGGACTGTATGGTGCAAAGTGCGCGGTGCAAGCAACGTGTTGTAATATAGTTGTCGGATATGGGGTGTACCATCCGCGGTGTAGGCTATGTGGTGCAAGCTGTGTGATGTAAGCAGTGTGGTGAATGCTACATGGTCCAACCAATGCGCTGCAAGCTGTGTAGTGTAAGTTTGGGTGCGGCCGGCCCGCGCACGAGGCGCCCACGAGGTGCCCAAGGGCAGGCGCTGGACGAAACCTCGGCACACCCACCCAACGAACGGGGGGCCTGCGAGGCTCCCCAGGGGCGCCCACGGGCGGGCAACAGGAGAAGCCTCGGCACACCCGCGCAACGCACGAGGCGCCCACGAGGCACCCGCGGGCGGCCACGGGCGGGTAGCAGGCGAAGCCTCGGCACACTCACGCGGCGCACGAGGCGCCCGCAAAGCGCCCACGGGGCGGGCAAGAGGCGAAACCTCGGCACGCCCACCTAGAGCACGGGGCGCCCGCAGGGCGCCCACAAGGCGGCCACGGGCGGGTGGCCACAGGGCGGCCCGCAGGGCGCCCACAAGGCGCCAACAAGGCGAAGCCTCGGCACGACACACGAGGCGCCCGCAAAGCGCCCGCGGGCGAGCAACAAGCGCAACCTCGACACTCACCGGCGGGCACCTGGCGAGGACTCGGCACACCCACCCAGCACAAGGGGGCACCGAAGAGGCTTCACGGGCGGCCAATAGGCGAAACCTCGGCACACCCACCCCGCGCACGAGGCACCCACAAGGCGGCCACGGGCGGGCACCGGGCGAAACCTTGGCACACCAGCCCAGCGCACGAGGCGCGCTCTAGGCGCACACGGGCGGTGCGAAACGTCGGCGCGCCCATGGGCGGACACCAGGCGAAACAGCGGCACACCCACCCAACACAAGGCGCCCACGAGGCGCCAACGGGCACCCACCAACTTGGCAACTGGCGAAAACGAGTGAGAAACCCTGAGTGCAAGCACTGATTGGGGAATGTAGCTGCTTCTTGAAGGCAGTAGAACTGTCGCTCTGATGCGAATCGTGCCGCTGTGTGGGTATGGCATGCTTCCCCAGGAATCATGCGATCCACCGCCGTTGAAATAAATTCTCTTGATGCCACCCCAGGCTTGTGCATGCACTGTGCTGTATTCAGAGACTGAGGCGAGCGTCAAAGCATGACGACTGGAGATCACAGGAGGATCATCATGGCCAAACTGTACAAACTACCCTACCTTGATGTGGATGGCCTGGCGGCAGCAAACAAAAAACCCAAGGCGGTGCTCTGAGAAAGGTGAAAAGAGAGGTGGCCGACCTTCTTAGAGGCTTTCCGGGGCTTCTTAGAAGGCGGGTGCCCCCCGCCCTTCGTGAGAAGGCCTTCCCCCTTCCCCTTTCATCCTTTCCGAGCCGCAGGGGCGTGCGAGCTGTGAAACGATGCTGACAGCGAGCACCAGCACGGATTAACAGCAAGGATGGCACGATTCTGCTCCTGCGACCCTGACTGCCAAAGATATCATGTGAAGGACAGTCAGACCCGTCCGAAGAGAAAGCTTCGAGATCCTCCTCTCCTCCTCTCTTCCTCCTCCTCCTCCTTAAGCTGTGCAAATATTGGCGGCGTGGCAGCGGGAGGAGCGCGGCGCCTTAGGCTCCTCCTCCACCTCTTCCTCCTCTTCCTGCCAAGCGCACGCATGGCGGAACACGGGGCAAGCTGCGGCCACGCTGGCAAGCGAGCGAATCAACTGCACAATCTAGCGCTCGAACAAGGTGACAGGACGTGCAAGGCACATGGTACGTACGCGATGCCGACTAGGTCGAGTGTCAACTGAAACTTGTTTGGGCGAGACTCATTTTGAGGATCCCTCGTCGCATGACGGAGGGACTCGGGCGTGGCCCGTGTCATCTTGACGGTCCAGACCCTCGTCTGAAACAGGGGAGAGACAACAAACTCGTCGCTTGCACCGTCGGGCTGTGTTCACTTCAGCGCGGCATGAACGAAACATGCGGTTGGCGCTGCAAACAACGACACCACCCGCGCTGTCGGAAAACACTTCCCAGATGCCCTGACCCTATCGGACATGAATCCAGAGCAGTACAGTGAGGCACTGAGTGGAGTGTCCTCAAATCTTCCAGAATACTGAATATGGTGAATTATCGGATAAAAGGCCCAGAGGCACAAGTCCCGGATGGTTTGGGTTGTAGCGCGTGACGCTTGAGGCGCCCCGCAGGACTTCTCCAAAGACCAACTAAACGCATCCGGGACATACATTCCAACATGGTCTAAGATAGTCCCTAGGACGGTCCCGTGCCAATCTCAGAGGCCTCTTGGGCCGTCTTGGGAGCCCTGGGAGGTGGCCCCAGAGGCCAACCTTGTCTACCCCCCTGAGTGGTATCGCTTTCTCTAGTTCAAGATGGCCCCAATATCCCCCCAAAGGTCCCCCCAAATTCCCCCCACGAAGCTGGAAGGGGCCTCTAAAAGACCCCGGGAAACCCTCGAGGCCACCGGGTCCAAAGAGGCCCGGTCCAGGCGGCGATGGAGGCGCATTCGCCTCTGCGGCGATGGTTCCTGGTGGGTCGCTTCAAACACCACCGGGGAACAAATCTAAGGCGAGTGTCGATGCGTTGCGCGGCCTGCACTCAGGGACAACGCGCTGGCGTAAAAACCTAAATCTCGGGCGCGCCAAAGGGCGGCGGCGCGGCTGCCCTGCGCGCTGGCCGCGAAGCGAGTGGCGCCCGAGTCGTCGACGCACGCGCGCGCGCGCGCCGAAGTGCACGCCGCCAAATCGAAGCGCCGCGCGCGCAAACGCCACTTGCGGTCGCAGCCTGGCTTGAATGCGACAAGGGGGGGGGCGCAAACGAGAAAAACGATTGGTTGAAGAGGGTGCGGCAACGGAAAAGGCGGCAAGGCAGGGAGACGCAAGCAGGGAAAGACTGGGGCCAAATTGATGAATCGGACGACGCCTGAACGCGGTGTTGGGGGGTGGGCGAGAGTCGCGTGGGCGACAGCCCAGGGGGCGGAAATGCGGCCTGCTTTTCGCAGAGCCCCGCGCCAAATAGATCCGGCCAGAATTTGTAGTGGGCGCGGCGCAGACTCAGACTTCACAGATCGCGGACCTCGGCAGGCGCGCACTTCAAGCGGGCGTGGGCTTCAGCGGGCGCGGCGCTCCAGCACGCACAGGCTGCAGCGAGCGCGCACTTCAGCGGGGGCGAATTTCGGCGGGCGAATACGTCCGCAATCGCAGACGCCAGCAGGCGCGGAATTCATCGGACGCAGACTTCAGCCGGGGCGGAATCCACCAAGCGCGAACTTCCATGGGCACCAACTTCAGCGGGCGACGGGCGCCGGCGGGCGCGAGCTTCAGCGAGCGCAGTCTTCACATGTCGCAGACTTCAGCTGGCGCACAAGTCATCGAGCGAATGCGCTGCTGGGCGCAGGCCTCGGCGGGCGCCTGCGACGCTGGGCTCGCGCGTCGGAGGGCGAGCTCCTGTTGGCGCTGGCCCCCGCGGCCCGCGGGCACAGACTTCAGCGGGCGCATGCGACACTGGCCGCAGAGGCCAGCGTGTGCAGACATCAGCGGGCGTCAACTTCAATGGGCGCGGACGTCAGCAGGCCTGATGGGGCGCAGACGCCAGCGCGCGCAGACGTTAGCGGGAGCAGACTTCAGCTGGCGAGGGCGCCAGCGGGCGCGGACTTCCGCAGGGGAACACTTCAGTGGGCGCAGACGTCAACGGCGCAGACTTCAGCGGGCGCAGAACGGAGTGCGCACAAGACCTAGTTGGCGGAGGCTCCAGGATCGGCGCAAAGGGCGGGCTACTCCAGAGAAAGACAACCGAATCACCGAATTGATTGCCAAACCTGACAACAACGCCTCTTGACGCGACTGCGGGGGAAGACGGCTTCCGACGGCGCCAGACGGGCCAGGAGGCATCAAGACGGCCAAAGGTGGCTCCAAGATGGCCCAAGACTGCCCAAGAGGCCCCCAAGAGGTCTCCAACACAGCCCAAGATGCCACCAAGAGGACTTCCAGGAAGGCCCGAAGAGGCCAACATTATTGATTTTCCTGAGGATTGTCAAGGTGCGTTTGCTTATTTTTTGCCTTCCGACAGCTCGAGAGACCCAAGAGCCTCTCCAGATCGCCCCAAGATAGGCCCCCAAGAAAACCCCTATGACGGCCCCAAGAAGGCCCCGAGACGGACCAAGAGCCCCCAAAGATCTCCCCAATATCGCCCAATAGGCCTCCAATATTGCTCCAGAACGGCCCAAGTGGCCCCAAAAACGGCCCCAAGAAGACCCAAAGACTGCCCAAGGGGCCTCCAAGACGCCCAATATGGCCTCCAAGACTGCCCTTGAGCACCCCAAAAGGGCCCGAAGTCGACCTAGAGAGGCCCCCAAGACGGCTTGCGACGGGCCAGGAATGCCCTAAGGCGGCCAAAGAGGCCCCCGAGAAACCCACAAAGGCCCCCCAAAGGCCCGATCAGGCCCCAAAGTTGCCTCCAAGAGGCTCCCAAGAAGCTCCCAGGAGGTCCCAAGAGTGCCCCCAGAGGCTCCTAAGATGCCCCCTCCTCCTTCTCCTGATCTTCCCCGCCATCCTCCCCGAAATCTTCCCCGACACGGTTTCTACAACGGCTGGGGGAACACATGGATCGATAGCTTGGCAGAGTTCTTGCCACAACGCTCGGCCACATGCGATTCCAAAAGGCAAGGGGCGGCGGTGATTCGCCGCAGGCGTCTTCGATGTGATGCATTATCGAAGCGCAAATACTCGGACACACACACACACACACACACCCACGCACGCACGCACGCACGCACGCACGCACGCACGCACGCACGCACGCACGCACGCACGCACACGCACACACACACACACACACACACGCACACGCACACGCACACGCACACGCACACGCACACGCACACGCACACGCACACGCACACGCACACGCACACGCACACGCACACGCACACGCACACACGCACACGCACACGCACGCACACACGCACACACGCACACACGCACACACACACACACACACCACACACACACACACACACCCCACACACCCCACACACCCCCACCACCCCACACACCCACACACCCACACACACACCCCACACACCCCACACACCCCACACAACCCACACACCCACATACCCCACCCACCCCACCCACCCCACCCACCCACCCACCCACACACCCCACACCCCACACACCCCACACACCACCCACACCCCCACACCCCCACGCCCCCACACCCCCACACCCCCCCCCCCCCCCCTCCCCACACACACACCACACACCGCACGCACGCAAACACACCACACACCACACACACACACACACACCCCACACCCCACACCCCCACACCCCCACCCCACACACACCACACACCCACACACACTCACACACACACACACCACACACACACACACACACACACACACACCACGCACACACGCACACACGCACACGCACACACACACGCACGCACACACGCACGCACGCACGCGCACGCGCACGCGCACGCGCACACGCACGCGCACGCGCACGCGCACGCACCACACACCCACACACCCACACCCCACACCCACAACCCCCCCCCCCTACACACACACCCACACACACACACACACGCACACACGCACACACACACACACACGCACACACGCACACACGCACACACGCACACACACGCACACACGCACACACGCACACACGCACACACGCACGCACGCACCCACGCACCCACGCGCCCACGCACCCACGCACCCACGCACCCACGCACCCACACCACACACACATGCACACATGCACACGCACACGCACACGCACACGCACACGCACACGCACACGCACACGCACACGCACACGCACACGCACACGCGCACGCACACGCACACGCACACGCACACGCACACGCACACGCGCACGCGCACGCGCACGCGCACACACACCACACACCACATACACCACACACACACACGAGCACACACAGACAAACACGCGCACAGACAAACACACGCACAGACAAACACACGCACAGACAAACGCACACACACACACACATCAGTGGGCCCTGGAAGCGACAAGGCCATCTTTGTTTACCGTTTTCGTTGTGCCGTGTTGTTTTGTGTCATTTCTGGCGTCGCTGTTTTGTCGTTTCCGTCGCCGGTTGCTTGTACATCCGACTGCCGTTTTTTTGCCGTTTCTGACTCCGCAGGGACCCTCGTGCCAAATCGCAATTTTTCTGAAACGGTTCCGAGCCGTTTGCGAACCGGTTCCGTGCGTCGGCCGGATCCGCCCTCGCAACATGCCGTTTTCGCTGCAATTGTTCAAGCGTTTCCGTTGCCGTTGTTATGCCGTTGACGTTCGGCGATTTGTTTGTCGCTTCCATTTTCAAGACGCACTTCTTCGAAAACGGTGACTAAACAGCCCCGCCGTTCTCAGGGCCGATTAAAGCACACACCTCTCTGTATGTATGCCTGTATGTATGTATGTATGCATGTATGTGTAAGTCTGTACGTGCGTACGTATGTTTGTATGCATGTATGCATGTAGGTATGGATGTATGCAGCTATTTTCGAATGTATGTATTTATTGATGTATGCAGGTATTCATTTGTGCATGCTGGCATGCATGTATGGATGTGTGCTTGCGTTTTGTTTATACATGCG